GGCACAACGGGAACCACCTGCGCTTTTGCAGCCTAACCCAACACCTACAAAAGACAGAATGCCAAACTTCGTGTTGACCAGTTAAAGTATGATGTCCAGCACCTGCAGACTGCTCTCAGAAACTTACAGCATCAGCGATATGCAAGGGAGCAGCAGGAGAGTCAGCGAGAGGAGCTTCTGTCTCGCACCTTCACCCCCAACGGGGGATGCGGCGCCTCCTCCGAGGCTGCGTGAGGCTGCGACGGCCCCTGCGAGGCTGCGTGAGGCTGCAGCGGCCCCTGCGAGACTGCGTGAGGCTGCAACAGCCCCTGCGAGGCTGCGTGAGGCTGCAGCGGCCCCTGCGAGACTGCGTGAGGCTGCAACAGCCCCTGCGAGGCTGCGTGAGGCTGCAACGGCCCCTGCGAGGCTGTGACGGCCCCTAGGAAGCCGGCGGAGCAGCACAGGCCGCCCAGATGGCTTCGTTGATGGCCTGCCAACCAGCTGTAGTGTTGCTTTCTCCTCACTTTTGGTAGCGAAATCCTCATTTTAAACATAAGAGGATACATTATTTTAAAAAGCCGTTACCATACCCTTTCTGAGTAGAGCGTGAACAAGTCGTGAGAGGCCTTTCCGAACACAGGAACACATTGCAGATGGAAATAGCTACATTTTCCATGTGTATGACCTTTGACCCGGCGACAAAAAGCATACACCTATGGATGAGGACAGTGGGGGGGGGGGTAAGGGCAGAGGGTGGGGTGGGAACTGGGTAGAGGGGAGCTATGGGGGGAAAAAAGGGGAACAACTGTAATAATATGAACAATAAAGATTTATTTAAAAAAATAATAAATAAGAACTAAAAAAAGTAAGGTCGTATTATTGTAATAGATAGTTTGTAATCTTGAACAGATGTTTGTTGTTTTTCATTTTTACTCAGTGTGACGGAGAGTAGCTGAAACTCCCTTATATGTGATACTGGTCTAATTATTTCAATACTAGCAAAGAGGGTAAGACAATGAATGACAAGGAGACAGAGAAAGGCAGCATAAAGTCAAGGTGTGTAGATGGCAACCCTTCCATCTTCTTTCTAGAGATTTTGCCATTTTCCTAAATGCGGACATTAGTCAAGGGCTACCTTCACCAGGTGGGTGGAGAACCATCAGGAGCTCGTATCAGAACTGAGTGTGCCCGCTGCTTCTGTCAACCTGGGCTGCCTTGGCAGGGACACCATGTTTACCCCCAGGTGCCTGGTCAGTGGCAGGCTTCAGTAGAATCACCACTGACCTCATGACTTCCTTGAGAAATAAAACTGTGTACTTAAATAAAGCTTTTGTAGCTCCTTGGTTATCTTGTTTTGGGGTTTTCCCCCAAGAAAAGGCTGCAAGATCAGGGGTAATTTTCCACACTCAAGTCACATCATGGAAACTTTCCACCTAAAGGGGCTGCTGCCTCTGAACATTACTATGGCCAGGGTCAGTGTACACATGGACGGTAGTTTCATTGTAAACATCTATGCCACAAGCATTTTTGCAGCACAACTCATTAACCAGAGAAAATTTCACTGGAAAATATTTTAAAAAACAAAATAAAAAAGAGACATTACAAAAGGACATAATGAAAATGAAAAATTAATAACAAAATTGAAGACTTTATTGCAAAAAATGAAAATACGTTGTCTTTGAAGTCTTTTGTTCATAGTGCACTTTGCTTGCTTGTTGATTTGTCTCCTCATTCAGCATTGCACTTCTTTTATCACTAAAATCTCCTCCTTCTTTAAGAGAGGTATCAATTTCCAACTAGAGAATTAACGATGCTCTTAAAGACTGTTATGGATTAGTAGCCACCTCTTTTATGTTTGCCATAGCTTGGTAAACTTGGTTTTCATAGGTGGAGCGATGACTGTGCTCACGGAAAAATATGAAATAACTGACATGTTATAATTTTCTAGTATAGTATGCAACTTGGCTAAGATTTATATAATATAAAAATAGAAAAATTGTGAGGACTTTGTAATTGGAGTATAGTATGCAATCTGGCTAAGCTCTACATAATATAAAAATGGGAGTGCTACAAAAACTATGCTAATGGAGAAATGAAACCAAACTGACAACTAGCTTAAATATTTGTCTGCTGGAGGTAGATGACTCATCAATGCAGAAATGAAACCAAACTGTCAACTATTTTATCTTTTATGGTGAAATTGCCTTACTACCAATTAGTTGTGTGGTGAAAATGTTTGCTGTGAAATGCCTGTAACAAAAATGCCTGAGGCGAAGATGTATACAGTGAAACTATCCATAACCCAGGGTATATTTCCTCACAGTATCACACAGAAGGTGTATTTGTAGATCACAGGTGGCACAGTAAAGTCATGGATACTAACAAAAACACACGGGGAGAAACTAGGCAGAAGTGTTCAATTAAGTCAATTCCCTTTCTTCATATAGTAGAATTTATTCTCTCATTCAATGGAAAGAAATAATAAACCATGATTTAAACTGATGGGTAATGCAAAAGTCATTTCCATTTAAGATCATTGTGTTTTTAAAAACCTTCCCAATTGTTTGGCTTACAGTAACATTAATTTCATCCCATAAGCACAGCTGGACTATCCAGATGCCTCTTCTATTAAAAGACACTAATGAATTACTAGAGAAATCCACATGCAGAATGTTGACTGTATTCTTAAAAACTAAACTGCCTTTGTTGTCAGCATTCATATGGTTATAGGAAGAAAAACAGCATCAGTAAGTAAGCAAACCCGGTAGCATTAAGGAATATTATGATGGCATACAAGGGGTACAATGCAGAAGGTCAGTACTTTTGACAAAAATCAGTCTACTGAAATCAAGCAAAATTGTTAGGGTGATTTCAGAGAAAACAGCATTTCTTACAAAGAAATGAGATGATATAATAAACCACATAAATGAGACACTCATTAATGCCTTTATAATCCTCACAAACATACAAATGACCCAATAGCAAATGCTGATGTATATGTGATGGAGGAGGGAGAGTAGTGGGAGCAAAGGGCTCTCTCTAGCACAGACACCTTTATTAATTCAAGAAATACTTATTGAGTGCCTACTAAGTGTGCCAGGCTCCATTCTCTAGACTGACGATACCATAATAAACAAAACAGACAAAACTCCCTGCCCATAGAGAGCTTAGAATATAGTGAAGGATTTAAAACATGTGACTTTGAGCAAGGCATGTATTTGGGTGACTAAAAGGTTTGTTACAGAGAAATCAAGACAAGGAAGACTGCCAATACAAACTGAATGAATACACACACACACACACACACACACACACACACACACGATACAAAATGAAGATTGTTGACAGGAAACTGAATATATATAGAGAGAGCACATTCTCGTATTTCTAAATTATTTTTGCTAAAACCAAATACCAGCAACTACTTTCTCTGATGTAGCCTAGAATAGAGGGCTATAAGTATGAACCAAAAATAAATAAATAAATCTCAGATGACCACTGTTACATGATGAACTGGGATAGAACCACAGTGGGCAACCAAAAAACGCATACTAACAGACTAGTTTCTGTTGAATAAAAACTTTAAAAATTAATAAATTAGCCTGGCTGATGTGGCTCAGTGGTTGAGTATCCAACCATGAGCCAAGAGGTCACTAATTCCATACCCAGTCAGGTCACATGCCCGGGTTGTGGGCTCAATCCCTGGTAGGGGGTGTGCAGGAGGCAGCGATCTATGTTTCTCCCTTATCGATGTTTCTATCTTTCTACCCCTCTCCCTTCCTCTCTCTAAAATCAATAAAAACATATTTTTAAAAATCTAACTGAATTAACTGATAAACTCTCCAATTTATCTGGAAATAAATTCTGGAAATGAAAGGAAGGTATTAATTTCATAAAATAAGTTTTTGAAAGTATGAAAACAGGGTTATAAAGTAAATTTAGGCAGATATCTCTACATATGGAGTAGTTTCACATATTTAGTCCAAGAATTTGTTGAAATGTGATTCTACCATTTTCCCAGTCAACTCATAAGGCTTAAACAGTGTACATTTGCCATGTTACTAAGTAATTTCAATGCTAACAAGAGATTAATGGAATGTTCTTGGCAAAGAGATTGCACTCTTTGACGGCTGCACATTAAATAAATGTATAAAAGCAAAACAGACAAAAATACATGCAGGCATAATGCATATACCAGAATCTAACGAGGGAGACAAAACTTGCAGCTGAAACATTCCAGGTCATCACTTCTGTCCACTGAAAAAGAAATATCTAAGAACTTCACAATCGAGAGGCTTAGAACATATCCTCGGTCCCCAAGTTTTAAATGACTGTCCAACAAGAAGGGAAGCAGTGACAGTTCCTTCCAGGCCCATTCAAGACCCGAGGGTCGAATCCCCCATCTTTAGGTAAGTGGGACTGGCAAGTACACCTAAGACAAAGGTTGAGTAACAGGTCCGAAGCCCAGTGACTCCAATTAGAAAGCAAAACTGAGTTTCAAAGGATGAAGGGAGGAAAGCGGAGAAACCACAGCAAGCAAAATAAGCAACTAACGGGAAAGCAATTTCACGCTGGAGAACCCACCAGGCCATTTCCACCCCTCAAAGGCAGTGCTGGGGAAGCCGCAAGGGCCAGGATCTTTGAGCTCCGGAACTCAAGATCCAGCCTGAAGCGGGTGAGGGGGAGCAGTTCCCGGAAACCCCCTCCCGCCCCCCTCTCCCACCAACCCCGCCCATTGGGTCCGCCCCGTCCCGCCCGGCTACTCACCGGATTCGCTTCCCACATAACGGTGGCGAAATCGAGCGGAGAGAGCCTGGGGGAAGGGGCTTGCCGTGGGCCGGGTGTTGGCTTTTTTCCAAGGGTGCCCGGGACTGAAGGGATGGAGAGGCAACCTTCCAGCAGGCCTTCTTTCTCCCCCTCTGTGTCACAAGCCAGCGTCTTCGGACCACCGAATCTCCCGACTTCCGCCCGGAGCGCTGACCCCGCCCCGCCCCCGGAAGCCGCCCCGCCCCTATCGCTCCCTTCCGGGCTCGGCAAGCTGGTGGTAATGCGAGGAGCTGGGGAGTGTCTGGATTGTAATGAAGTTTAAAGGGCGTCTAGTGCTAAATCACCATGGCAACATCCCCATCAAGAGATCCTCGGGCCAGGGTTGGTTGTGTTTTCTCCGATAGTTATTGGTCGCGGTATGCTGAGTGGCCGAGAGCCACACAGGCCTGGGAATTGATCCCAATGCAAGCAGTGGCATTTGGGACAGGCTTCACAACCTGACTCCGTTTCCTCATCTTCAGAATGGAGATGACTGGGGGAGGCTAGGGGACTGTCTTGGGCGGGGGGAAAAAATGGACACATATGTAATATCCTTTGTAATAAATAATAAAATTAAAAAAAAAATTAAAAAAAAAAAAAGAATGGAGATGACAATAGTATCTACCTAAGGGTGTAGTGATATAATTTAAAGTACCTAGCATGGTATATGACATACAGCAAGAGCTCAAGGAATGTTGTTTGCCAGACACTGTGCTAGGCTGTTGAGTGAACAAGATTGACCTCATGGAGCTTAGATTAGAATCTAAAGAAAAAAACAAACAAAAAAATAAGTAACTTAGATCAATAAGAAGGTGCAGTATGGTTTATAGGTAGCATGGCAAGTACAGGGTTCTATGATAGCAAGCTTACCTAGGATAGGTGTCGGCACCCCTCCCCACAAGAAGTTTAAGGATATACTGTTGAAGTTACCTGGATAAAGAGCTAAGAGAGGGGAAGAATTTTCTAGTCAAAAAGTAGACTCTACCTATTGGAAATGAAAAGAAACAATTTGCTATTGATCCTGGGCTTCTCTATACCTTCACACATTAAAAAAATAAAGAATACCTACAGATTTAAAACATGGTATTATTTTAACTTAATATGATGTGGATATTCTTTATTACAATACATGTAAATCTACTTCATCATTTTAAAATCATCATTTTAAAGACTCCTGGCATTCCATAGTTTGTATGTGCTACACATCTGTTGTGACAGACATTTAAGTAGTTTTCAATTTTTCACTATTTCAAAAAATGCAGCAATAAACATTCTTGTACTGACATTTCTGTACATTATCCATGTACCTCCATGTAATTAGTTCTAAGAAATTGAATTGTTCAATAAGAAATTATGAAAATTTCAAATTTTGATGCATATTGCCAAACTACACTCAAAAATAGTAAGTAAATTTGCGATCTCTAATTTATACTTCTAAATGGATTGAGGTAGGGATCTTCACTTTGCTTCTTTTCACTTTACTTTTTGCCAAATGGTTAACCAGTTGCCCCAATATCACTTATTAAGTAATCTATTCTTTCTCCACTACTTTAAAGTGCCACCATTAATCAAAAACTAAATTTGTGGGTATGTATTTTTGAACATTTTGAACTTACTATAAGTTCATAATATATTCCCTCTCTCATAAAGCAAGTCCCCTCTTTATTTAAAATTTTCAAAATTCTGAGTCTTCTTATTCAGGAACACATCTCATGTATTTAGGTCTTTTATATCTTTACACACAAAAATTCACGTAGATTTGCACAATTCTTGTGAAGTTTGTTTTTAGATATTTTATAGTCTTTGTTATTATGAATGAGGAAAACTACTGTTTTTATGTAATCTTATATCCTACCACCTGTGCAAATGTCTTATTAGTCCTAGTAGCTTTGTCAGCTGATGTCTCTGAATTTTTATGTCAATGATCATATTGAGGCAGGATAGTAAAAAGCTAGAAAAATCCCTTGGCAAGTGGAATAAAAAAACTGAAACTGAGACAGATATTTAAATGGCCAAGCAGTTTATAGCCATATAGTAAGTCCTATCTTCCCTAAATCAAGGACACTTAATAAATGGTTTAGCCCTGTCTGGTATAGCTCAGTTGGTTCGTTGTCATCTCATGCACCCAAAGGTTGCCAGTTCGATTCCTGTTCAGGCCACATGCCCAGGTTGTGGGCTCAATCCCTGGTAGGAGGCGTGCAGGAGGCAGTTACTCAATGTTTCATTCTCACATAGATGTTTATCTCTCCCTCTCCCTCTCCCTCTCCCTCCCTAATATATATATATATATATTTAAAAGTACAAATGGTTTACACTTCTCCTCCCTAACCAGAGGTTAAATAGCTCAAATCACCCTACTTAGGGAGATAGAGTGGTGCCATTTGTGCCAATCACACCCAAGGACAGGTGAAGTTAAGGGAATAAATCTCACTTTAGCACATCAGCATAAAACTGATGAATATTCTATTGAGATCCTCCCCTAAGACCTTCCCATAAACTCCCAGCTTTTAAAAACCCTCAAAACAAAGCTCCCACCATGTGTTCTCCCTCCAGGGATCATTCCCTCACCCTTTTCCTTCTTCGTGCCCCACAGGTGTGCACCTCCTAAACTCTAAGGGACCCCATGAGACTTGCCACCAGCAATAGACAGCAGCAGCTCATCCTGGGCTAACCCCCTGGACCTGTCCTCAATGTCCCTTTTTCCCTAACTTCTCAGTGAGCCAGAGCAGCCCTGCCTTGGCTGATTTCTTTCCTATAACATTTCCAGAGGCCAAAGCAGCCCCACCTAGGTCTCTCCTGTTGCTTCTTCTATGCTAGGCCCTTCCTTGTCTCACTGCCCCCAGCTTTAATAAACATACCCTCAAAATCACTTGGATTTGTGTTGTGAAATCTTTCCTGCACCAAGGCTGGTATAATCCTGCCCCACACACTACCAGCCAGCCCTAGGCAGACCTGCTCATGGCCATCCCCTTTCCAGTAACAATATCACCTAAAAAGAATGCAGTTTTCTATCTTCCTATTGCATTGGCCAAAACCTCAGAAAAGTTTTGAAGAATACAGGAAAAGATAAACTTTCTCATAAACTCTATTACTATATTCATTTTTACTGACTTATTAATATAATGAAATATATACTAGTAGATTTCCTAATATTGAGCCCATCCTTTTATTCTTGAAATAAATTTTGTTTCATTGTGTATTCGTTATTCTTTGAATACACTCTTGGGTTCAATTTGTTAATCTCTTATTTATTTATTTTTTATTTGAGAGGGAGAGAGACAGACAGAGAGAGAGAGAGAGAGAGAGAGAGAGAGAGAGAGAGAGAGAGAGAGAGAGAGAGAGAGAGAGAGAGAGAGAGAGAGAGAGAGAGAGAGAGAGAGACAGACAGACATCGGTTTGTTGTTCCACTTATTTATACATTCATTGATTGATTCTTGTATGTGCCCTGACTGGAGATCAAACCCTCAACCTCAGCATATTGGGATGATGCTCCAACCAACTGCTCTACTCAGCCAGGGATAATCTTTTATTTAGGATTAAAGTTTATAATTAATGAAATTGGTGTTCTTTGTGATTGTCTTAGCAAGTTTTGTTAAGTGAACAGTAATAGTTTAAGTAATTTAAGAATTAGCTATTCATCAGAGGTGGAGTGGATTTTTGCAAAGGAAGTTTAACCGGAAAGATTAGAACCAGTTCCTCAGCTTTTTGTGGGGTTGGACCTATACTTCATTTCCATGAAGCCTTGGGGTTACCTGAGCTGGCAGTCACAGAATGGGATAGAGAGAACACAACTGGTTTGGATATGTAGCAGGTGAATAACCTTTTATGATATAACTAGAGACCCAGTGCATGGATTCATGCAGTGGTGGGGGGCTTGGCCTTCGGGAATCGGTCCGCTGTGGGAGGGCGGGTCATCACAGTCAGCGGTGTAGCTGTGGACCCGCCCTCTGAGCCGCTACTGAATGAGGAAATTAGTCTGAGCTGATATTTCAGGGTAATGTCTTGGGTAAAGGCGTGTTCTGTGTCCTGGAGGAACCTGGCGGAGAGCTTTGCCCCAAAGCCACTCGGTGAATGTCCTTGATGTATCAGTATGATGCCAGGTCAGTGACACATCAGGGATGTTCACCGCAGGCGTGCTCCAGGATCCTCAGCCATCAGGACAGCCTCCCCAGGGGGCACAGTCACGTCCCCTCTTGCCATCTGCCTATGCCAGCTCCTGGCGCTCTTTCTGGAACACACCTTAGGGGGCCTGCATCAGCTGCTGGGGTCAGGCCAGAGTCTGGATTGTCTCAGGTATCTGATAGGTGCAGACACTCAGCTCACTCTGGGCCTGCTAGTGGCTGCTCCCAGGAGCAGCTGCTCATCCCATTCAGCCAAGCAGCGCTCCCGCTATGGGAGCACACTGACCACTATGGGAGCACGCTTAGGGGGCACCTCCTGCATTGAGCATCTGTCTTCTGGTGGCCAGTGCATGTCATAGTGACTGGTCAAACGGTCATTCTGGTTGTTCCACCATTCAGTCACTGGGCTTTTAGATAGATAGATGATAGATAGATAGATAGATAGATAGATAGATAGATAGATATAGATATAGATGCTGTATCCCAAAATAATATAAAGGAAACATTCCTTGAACTCTTGCTGTATGTCATATACCATGCTAGGTACTTTAAATGATATCACTATGCCCTTAGGTAGATACTGTTATCATCTCCATTCTGAAGATGAGGAAACCGAGTCAGGTTGTGAAGCCTGTCCCTTTCATGTTTTCTATTTGTGTTCTGGATGGCAATGTCTTTATATTTCATAAACTGAAAATAGCTGTGGAAATGTTAGATAATTTTTTTCTTATTATTCTTTATTTAAAACCACTTAGAGGGCAAGTGTGGGAAAGGGCCTTAATGATCATTTAGGCCTCGGGTCACAAACTGCTAGCTAATGAGCTTTAGCACACAGAGTATTAAGTTAAAAAAAAAAAACTGGGAAATTTCACATTAAATGATATGGATCTCCTGCTTCTTTTAGACCAGTGGTTCCCAGCATGGGGCACAAGCCCCACAGGGAGGCAATTGGATTTTTAAGGGGGGCAATGCAAGAATGAGTTAACAGTGAATTTTTTGTATTTCTTATGGTTCTAGGGGCCTCATATCAGTATATAAATATATATTGTGACATATTTATGCATTTTACTTCTCTATTATATGTTTTGAAATTTTATTTGCTATTTCTTATATCACTTCATATTATTTTTTAAAACAATTTCTTAGCGATTTCTTCCTCAGGACTTCAGTCGTCCTTTCGTTCTTTTATTTTTCTCTTTCATGGATGCCATGTTCTTTGGAAGCTTGTTTAGACCAAGTTAATGGCCTTTTAGGCTTCCTAAAATAGTGAGTAGGAGTTCACTTTTTGAATAACAAGAATTATATGTCACAGGCGGGGCATCAGGATTTTAGAGACGCTTATGTGGGGCATGGCCAAGGAAAGGTTAGGAACCACTGCTTTAGACACTGTATTCTCATATGCCAGACAAGTGGCCAAATCCTACAGACCCGTTTAGACCGGGAATGTGCTGTCAGGTTTATCTGAGTTATCAGGCCAATATTGCTCATCCACATTTAAATGACCTACCTGGGCCCTATAGATATTTGGGGTTGTACTACATATAACCCACCTCTTATTTTGCTGAGGAAATGTAATGGATCTGGGACTTCTAAAATATCCTTATAGAAGATACCTTCACTGCTCTCTCCCATACCTTTCTCAACGGTGGACTCAGTCACTGGGTCTCAATCTCTCAGTCTTTCAATAGATTACTCTCTGCATGTAATGCCCAAAATGTTGCCTAATAGAGAGTCCGGCGCTGGGAATGCTTCCCTCTGCATCATAGTTCTGGCAAAGTGCCACCAAGTAAAAACTATGCATACTGACCATGGTCACTGGTTTTCTCAGGAAGACATTTGACTTTATCTTTCATGTTTTCTATGTGTGTTCTGGATGGCAATGTCTTAAATCGTGCTCACCCAGCCCCACTCCCACCTGGTGGGGTTTATGAGCTCTTTGAATGCCAGAAGGGGTGGGAGGAAATGCTCCAGGGGAAAGGAGAAGGCCGAGGAGCAGCAGAGAACAATCACTGGAAATCATGAAAATAACCAGAAGACAGGTAGTTGAATGGCAAAGTAAATTTGTGTGTGGGGGGGAGAGCAATCTCTCATAAAGACAACAGGAGGAGAAAAGAGAACCAAGTAAGTGGTGAGATGCAGGATCTAGTACATATCTATTTCAATGTTATTTTCATAATCATTTTGATTTTTAAAGGCCACATTTACTGCCAGAAATGAAGCACTAGGAATGCGTATGGAAGACAGGCTGGATTCGACAGGAAGGAGGATCCAGAGACCAGAAGAAGGTGCAAAGGGAGAGATGGGGTACAGGAATAAGGGGGAGCTCCATGTGTGCCCATCAGCTTTTAGTATAAAGACCCAGCCTCAGTATGAAACAGAGCCAGCAGTGAGGCAGCCCCAGAGCAGCCCTGCTGCCGTGGTCTGACATGTTAACAACCCAGCAGGCATTAAGAGCTGAAATCGGCAGATGAAACATTTGCTGACGCCGAGATAAGCATTCCTGGGAAGGAATTTTTCAAAAAATCAAAATGAGTCCTGTAAATCTTCCTAATTAGGAAACATGGCAAGGAACTAAATTCAGCCAAAAAAAATAAAATAAAACAAAAATGAAGTGCTCACCCACGCTAAATGGAAAGGCTGTATTGAAAATACCACTGATTATTAGTTTTAGCTGCTCAGGGAAATTATCTAGGCACAATGATGGGCATCAACATGCAGCTCACAGCAGCAGTCAAAAGCAGCAGCTGAGATGTGTGGCCATCCTAATTAGGGGATGGAGAATTCTGAAAAGGCTCTGGAGCGGTGACATTCCTGGCCAGGCTTTCCTTCTAGGAATGCCACATTGGGGTTTTGGTCATCACGCTGTGAAAAGGGAATTTGTAGGAGTGATTTGGGAAAGAATAGCAGAAATGACTTGGGAACAAGTGAGAAAAGCTTTGAGGCTAAAAGCAGAAATCAGGAAAACACTTCATAAGAAATCATTTTCAAAATCAGAGAGGGAGGCAAGTAAAAGCCCAGGGTGGTAGAAAGAAAGAGCAGCCTGGGGGTGTACTGTTTGCACTTAGGTCATTCCAGACCTGTGGGGCTGTCCCCTGTTCCTTAGGAGCACATGGCGGGGGGGGGAGCGTCAAGAAAGTACAGATTATCTAACATGAATTGTTCTTCCATTCTTCACTCAACAAATATTTAGCAAGCACCCTCCATGTTCCAGGCACTATCTTGAGTCTAGCCTCTTTGGATATATCTGTGAACAAAATAGAGAAAAATTCCTGCCCTTGTGGAATTTGTGTGCTGGGGTTGGGGGTGGGAAGGCCTTGGGCTGGGAGGAGGGGGACACAGATAATGTAACAAACATTGTAGAGATGGTATTAAGTAATAAGAACTATAGGAAAAACATAGATCAGGGCAAGGGGTATTGAGAGTAGTCAGGATGGTCCTCGTTGAGAAGGTAACATTTGAAGTAAAATCTGGAGGAGTTAAGGTAGCAAACTGTGTGTGTGTGTGTGTGTGTGTAGAGGGAGGAGCAGAGGAGATGTACATTTTGAATGGGTACAGATGTATATATGCTCATATAGTAATTAACAAATACTTACATGGCACCAAGTATGTGCCTTCCAATGTTACAAGCTCTTT